CCTTTTACATATGCAGTATATTAGGAGATGATAGGAGAAAAACAGTAACACAGTTAAACCTCACAGAGGTTTATTTTCAGTTAAATTGAACTCAGATTTATTGAGTAAGTATTCTATTGTATAGTAGGTGCATGTCAGTAAAAATATGTTTAATTGGATGTAATTCTGCTTAATACAGCAGATTTCCAAACAACTTCATTTGGTAAAATTATTCAAAACTTGAAGTGTTTGTTTCCAAATTGAAAAATACATTAGAATTAAATTAAGAGTGGACCAAATATCAGTTGTTCATACCAAAGATATGTATGGGTCTTTTTTTGTTGTAGTGACCTTATACTTGGGGATGACTGAATTATAAACGTATTAGTGTAATACCTGTTTCTGATTTTATTTTTTAGTATATATACAAAATCAAGGAGGAAAAGCCTCAAGATGATACACTGCCAGCTGTAGTTTCCCAAAACAGTCCTGCAAAACAGGAGCCTCATCCCCCCCCTATTTTGTTAGACGTGAGAGCTCAGTGCCTGCCTAGATCACATCCAGAAGTAGTTAACCATGACAACGTTCGCATTGCAACTGTTGGTTTCACAGTATACATACAGTTAAATGGAGGCCTTTCCTCTCTGACTAAGGCAGTCATTTCTGCCTGTAGTAGCAGATGCATTTAGCTATGTCAGTTTAACTCAATCAGTATAAGATAAAATGAGGTTAAATTACTCTTTGCTTTTAATGGCAGTGCACTGAGGACAAAATTTGTCTTATTCTTCCAACTATTCCAGCTGGTCATCTAAAAGATGCTACCTCTGCCTGCAGACCTGGTCCTGTCTATGTCCTTTCACCTTCTCAGCTACAACGAAGTACTGTTACAACTGGAAAACATTTTTGCTTAATACAGCTCAAGGCTGCGGGGGTGATTTTCCAATTCCAGTTAGAGACATTACACTTTATCTTCTGCTATGTAGGAGCTGTATGTCAGTTGATTTCCATTCCACCAACCTAGCGCTGGAAAAAAAATAATGAAATCTTGGTTTTGTCAAAATAAATGGCAGTTTGAAAAAGGAGAGAAAAGAATTGGATGCATTGTTAAATATTCACATACAGAGAGGTTCATATGTCAAAGCCAGCATCTTTAAACTACATGGTGATTTTTTGTGTACCCACCTCTACTTACTTTCAATGCATCGTGTTCTTCTGTTCGGTCACTCACTATGATTTTAAGGCTGGTTGTTGTTAGTACTGAAACTCACCTCTGGCTGTTCTTTACTGCTGATTGTGCTACAAGTTCCTGAGTCACAGAATCCAAACTTACTTTATAAGGCTTTTACTCTATGTTTTCTTGTGAAATTACTGCCAGGCTTTCTGAGAATAGCAATGTATTCTGATTATTGTGGGCAAATGCAGAGAGGAAGGAAAGCTGTTGAGCAATGCAAACATTTTCTTAGCTGAAACCTGTGGCTTAAAGTATTTTGCTTATACAAGCGGAAGAACTGTGTGTACTCAAGACTTCTAAAAGAACTCAAGGATGAAATAGCCAAGCTTCTAACTGCACTGTGTAATCCTTCACTTAAACCTGCTTGACTACCACAGGATTGCTTGGCAGAGGTATTTCAAAAAAAGTTTCAGGGAAGATCAGAAAAACATTAACTGATAAACCTGACATCTGTACAAAGCAAATTAGTAATAATACAGAATACGATTAGTGAACACATGAATAAATATGACGTATCCAGGAAGAGTAGACACAGCTTTTGTTAAGAGAGGTTGTGCTTCACAGTTGTATCAGACAGTACTTTGAAGTGTAGTACAATGGTAAGGAAATCTACAAGGGAAAGACCAGCCAGACAAAAATACTATCCATTCACCAGTTCCTAATCTAAAGTATAGCCCAGCCATGGTTAGCCTAAAATATACCTGATGCACAGATTAGACACACAGATTGAGTAAAGCATGAAATTTCATTCCATTGTTTGCCTGTCCATGAATGTCGAACACACGTGAAGACAACAGATTAACAGTTGTCTGAAAATCAGTCTAGAACTTCTAAACTGCAAAATGTGTTCGCTTAGAAAGTCCTGCTCCCCAGATGTCACAGTTGGAATTTGTTGGTTTCCATTCCATTTTTTTATGTACCATATTGGTACATAACATCCTGACTTTTTTTTATTCCATTTTGTATTGTTCTTGTAATTATTATTTGTACCAAAAAACATGGTGGTTGTCTCATGGTATCATTAAAGTTATGTTCTGGCTTTCCTGATAATTGACAGAATATAATAATGACAGTGTAGTCTAAAAATCATACATATACACTTCAATTTATGGAAACTTACATATGCTTTCCAAATCTCAGGGATGATCCTTTTCATTCTTTTAATACTTCGGAGAAGTAACACTAACAATTGGCTGGTTAAAGTATAGATGTTCAGAAGACAAGCAGTGAAGGCCAGTTTTGCAAAGACTCTGTGAGCTGATAGTTAGTTTGTAATTATTTCAATTATTGTTAAGTCCTTTTTCCATTATGTAAAAGGTAAAAATATTTTTATCTTTCTATAAAAAAAAATCCATAAAACTTAACTGAGATTTAATTAAGGTCCTACTCTAGAAATTAAATGCCTCCCCAAATGCCTAAGTACAGATTGTGTCAAACAATGAATTAACGTTTTAAATTATGTTTTGTTATAAAATGGTTTTCTGTGATTATTCTGTTATAAAATGTTGTATATGAGTAAGAAAGAGATTCTTTTATTCTTAGGATTTGTTTAATATGTGCATGTGAAGATACCTGCATGAAATTTCATGCTTTAAGCCATCTTTTTGACCATATTCAGGGCAGCTTCTTGGACTAATGGTTATATTTTAGTCTTGAGCATTCTGCACACAGTTTAACACCCTTTTTTGGTCTTTCAACAGCATCATCCCCTACTTTCTCTCTAATCTATATCTTGCCAGGGAACTCTGAGAAATTATATCTCTAATTTCCTTTAATGCCTTTACAAGGATAATTCTTTGCCAGTGTGATCTGATGATCTTTTATGTCACTCCCATAAAAGTATTCTCTGTTGATTTTCTTCTCTTTATCAGTTTTACACGAAGCATTGAAAATGACAGAATATGATTGTAACTTTACAAAAGCTAGCCAAAATATCCAAATGCAAACAGTGACTGAAATTTTGTTTAACTGACAATGTTCTAATCTAATGGCAGGCTTTCAGTATTCCTGCACTATTTCAGGTCTGTAACATTTTGTGTGGAGTTACAATAATCTATAATTGCTAAGCTTTTGTTATTGCAAAATATATGCAGAAAATTTCTGATTCTTTTTCTATGATTTTTATTTAAGTGATATTTTAAAAGGGCTCTGTAAAAAAAAGTACAAAATTTGTGTTCTGCTATACATACATTTATGTATTAACAAAATTAGGACTTGTTTTCTAGGGGTGAACTGGGAAGAGAACAGGAAGTTCGCATTGTCCTACAAAAATCAATGAAACCATAATGAAACTACATAGATGATTGTATCATAAGTTCATTATGTCAGTTACAAAATTCAATTATCATTGCCCTTTTTGGTGAACTGCTGCAAGAAAAAAAATATGTACTACTGCACCTTCCACAGCTTCTGGGATTGTATTTGGCCTCTTTTGGCTGATTTTGTTTGCAGATCAAGTCCACCTAAACATTTATAAATTATCAAATTATCCTTACTGCTATCTGCCATCAGTACAGGTCTTTGCAGAACCTCTGCAAGGTCAGGTGGGTTCTTTCTCTCTGCTTCTAGAACTCCATTGCACCCAGATTAGCTAGTGTTGACATCTGGCATATCAAGAGCTACCAGCTCTTTATAACTCCTTTTTTTTTTGGTCAGTAGGTTCTGTAGCAGGAACAGAACTGGGCCACAGCTGCTGAAACATCATCCCTTTAAAGATCCTTTTGTTATTTGGACAAAGTTGCTCATTCATCTTTCTTTTCAGCAACTGCATAACAACTAGAGTTAAAACCTGTAAACATCCCGCCCCGTGGCTACATGCAAATGGCTGACTTCTACACCAGAAACCTTGGACTTTTTTCTTGAGCTGAAGGCTGTTGCTCATTTCTGTTAATAAATCCCAACTTGACTTAACAGTTTCCAACCCTGTATTTCCTAATAATTGTTTATGTCCGTGGTGACTGAGGCGCTAGTGATTTGTATCCTTTCTGTGGTTCCAGACTAGCGATGTCATTCCAGAACCTTCCCAACCTGTTCAGTTGCCTTGTGGTTTCTCCTACCTACTATTTTTCAATCCTTTCAGACTTCCAGATCTTCTTACCTTTCCTTCTGTAAAGGTTCAAGTTTTTGTTTTAAGTCCTCCTGGCCTTTTTAATTTTTTTTTTTTATTTTTTATTGGAAAAGTCTTCATGGAGAAAACATGGAAGTGAGATATATGATTACTACATCATCAGTATGAACAATGGGAAACAAATGCAACTTTAGAATATAGTTATAAAATGTACGACATAAGATACCTGCAGTATTTTCTAAACCCACTTGTTTTATTGACACAGAAAATGTCCTGTTATTCTCTGTGATGTCTTTGCAATATTATTTTTCTGGAAAAAAAAGTGTTAATAATATAAAATCAGTTATTTTCTCTGAAGAGTGAGGTAGAATTATTGTTATACTATAACTATTTCAATTTCATTTAATTGATCCTTGGTCCTTCCAAAAAAAAATAATTAAAAGAATTCCTATAGAATATTTCTGCTAACTAATCTGTTTACCTTGATTAATAGAAAAATATAGAAGATCTGTTTATCTATGTGTTTGTATGTGTTTGTACACGTGTGTATTCCTAATTTGAAGACAGCTGTTTCATAGTTAAAAAGGCTGAAATGCAAGATCTTTTACAATGCACATGACAACTGCTTCTCAAAATTTAATTTCAACATCATTTAGTGTATACATAGAACTGAGTTTACCATGTCCATGAGCTACATAGTTCATATCTTTAATATCTTTACAGCTCTGATAGCCATTGGACGATACAGCATGACAATAGAGACAGTGGATGTTGGATGGTGCAAAGAAATCACAGACCATGGAGCAACCCAAATTGCACAAAGCAGCAAGTCTCTCAGATATTTAGGGCTGATGAGATGCGATCAGGTAAGGAGCATTTGCATGAACTGGTGCCTGCTTCTGAATGCGTGTGAGAGTGAGTGTTCATGTGTGTATGTGTGAGGGAGGGAGGGAGACAGGAAGTTTTATGTTTTTCGGTACAAACAGGTTTTGTATTCACTACTGTGGTAACTCTTTTAGTGTACTGTGTTCACATATGTAGCTAAAAACGTATCTAGAGAACTAAAAAGAGCATTATAAATTTTTGCTGACATGGATTTTCAAAATACACCCACAGGCTACACCCACAGCCTGAGATGCTCACAAAAGTTTTATGTAAAATCTGCCCTCTGAGAGTTTTGAATATTTTTAGCTAAAAGGGATCAGTACGTTATGTCATTACTATGACAGACTACTTCGTTTTTTAAAAAGAAAGAAAGAGAAAAATCAATAAAATAACCAATAACACCAATAGTATTACTTCCAGAGTGATTTTCTATGCATCTGTGTTCTTGCCCATATATAATAGTTTTAAAAACACAAAGGCAAGGATTTGGGTAAAATCATAATACTAAAAAAAAAAAAAAAGAAGAAAAAATACTGAATTTCTTATTATATAGCTTTCCTACTTGGAATACATTAAGAATGTCTTTAGCACTTTAGCACTTTATCATTAGAAGAAGAGAGAAGAAGGCAGTCCAGCTCCACCTCACCCTGTATATAAGCTTCAGTAATCATGTCTCTGTCGAGAGAAGAAAGATCAAGAGGCCTGGAAATGCAGCAGAAATAGCTAAAAGTCATTGGAGGTTCAGTCTCTGATCTCAGATCTTCAAATATACCCACAGGGATTGTTTCTCTTCCAGTTATCATGAACGATATGTCCAGCTTGTGATGGCCATCATAACCATATCTCTCAGGCTTGCGAATTTCTGATTGGATACAGCCTGTAGAAACACAGGTTTTCAGTTTTCATGCTCAAAAGCCATTACCTTTACATTCCTTGCAATGCTTTATAGAAGACAGTTACAAAACCCAGTATTTCAACTGGTAAGGAATAATAATTTCCAGGTCAGTTGTAAAGTTAGAAATATCATTTTGCAAACCCAGCCTTAGACAGTTTCCAGTTTGAGGAGAGGTTGAGCACTTCGGAAGAATTGCTGTGTCTATTAAAGCTGACTCCACTTAATCTCCTAAACGTTAGTGTTTTATAAGAGCCAACAGACAAAAAGAGTGTGTGAGTCTCTTTGAAGGATTGTGGTAAGATTATGTACTTAAAGAATGTTCAAAGGGTTACTTGACCTTGGGAATTAGATCTGACCCTGAATCACCTGATCAATTTTACACATATATTTATTTTGTGGATTTAGCTAATGTTGAGCAATCAGCAAGGATCTAATAAGTGAAATAATTTTATCCTGTCTTCAGCTGCTATAGAAAATCAATGATCTTGATGCTGAAAACAAGTTTTACTACCTCATCAGTTAAACTATACATACTGTATTCTGTATTCCTCTAATTGCTAGTTAATGCTTTCCTAGTTATTTACAAAGGATTATAGACCATCTTTTGTGTTATAACAGTCAACCGTTAAAAGGAAAAAAAGAAATATTTTTTGAGAAAGCTTCAAGGAAGATAGAAAAGCGATGCTGACTGCATGCCTGCAAGTCTGTGTATGTGTGTGTGTTTGTGCTTGTGCTTGTGTGCATGTATACGAATGTTCAAAGTATGGTAGCTAAAACTTGTTAGGAAATGAGTAAATGCTGTTACAGCAAACACTGTAGTAGTAGAACTACCACTGGGAATTATTTTCTTGCTTGCAAAGCCTTGATGGGAAAAATAGCTCCACAGACAGAATGAAGTAAGTATCCTTGACTTAAAAGTTTTTGGCAGCTAGAAGATGCCAGCTCCATTTTTCCACTGCAAAAGAACAGAGAAATTACTGAACAAAATCATGTCTTCAACTGTCTCTCCCCAATATCATGCAGAACTAATTTTTTCCAGTGGCTGCTCTGTTAAATTAAAAATGTCAGTGTCCGGCACATCATTAAAGAGAATTCTTGGGTGGTGCAGAAGGGTTTATTTACATGCCCCGTTGACTGAAATTCTTGTCTTTGGACTATTGTCAGCTTGCAGTGAAGAGGGGGTTAGAAGATCTGCCCCTCCTAACCAGCCTTCCTTTTCGAAGGTACTGACTGTTATCCTGGTACGAGGTAGCATTTATGCCTTTCTAGGAATTCCTAGGCATTGGAGGGGAAGTGCTTAAACACAGTTACATAAGGAACATATGTAAGTAGACTTCAAATGGTTACCACTAAAATACCCTTTATGACCCAGGCTCTTTGGAATTTCTTTGATATGCAGTTGACATAAATTAGAGGCGTCAAGGGTCCTCCCGAGAAAGATCAGAGAGGCTGCAAGCCTGGGAGAAGGCAGGCTCTGTTTTATGCCATTGATTATCTGAGTGCCTCCAGGCAAAGTGTTTCAGTAGATGCAGAGCGTTATTGATCCACACCATGAAAATAATCAAATTATTCATTTCTCATCAAACTGCTGTTGCCATGACCTTTCTTTTTATCATGTTTCCTGCCATCTAACATGCACACCACAGGAGCAATATGGTCTTTGGCTTAAAATAAATGTCATTGTGTTGAAATGACTCATAAAAATGCTGACTTTACCATGAGATTGTCATAATGAGGGCACATATTTAAGTTGGAAGTTTTCTAATAAGATTTTTAACACTATTTTTTTCAACATTTAAATGTTGCTAAGTAGCGACGTAATCACTTTTTACAAATCACATACGGAAAAAAGTCTTGAGATTATTAAATGCTGAAAGTCTTTCAGAACTATCCATAGTATAATTTTGGTTTAGAAAACGTGTTTATGCTTAGATACAATAAATCTAAATATTCTTTTCAATGTAAAAATATTAGAGGCAAGGTTACTGCGCGAACGTCTCTTGTTTTTCTGATTTTACCTAGCACCTCCATGACTTGGCAAATATGGCTTTCCCTGCACTACACAGCAGTGGTGCCTGAGGCCTGGAGAGAGCTCGGAAAGAACTGGTACTACTGGAAAGGTGCAGGGCAGTGTGGACACACAGGCATAAGTCCTGATAGTAACTTAACTGCCAAAGTCCAGCACCTTGTCCAGGAAAACTAGCACTCAGCAAGGTTCATGAGATACTGTCATATACATAGATGTGGTAGTAAAACTTGCTGCTTCCATTTCTGAGAGTAGCTCAGGAGATGATAGCTTGATCTCTACAGAGTCCTGCGTCGTCAAGCATATATACAGTGGGACACGTACCATTAGTTTTCTGTATCGGATAGGCATCTGAGAGACTGTGATGCAGACCTCCAAAAGTATTTAGGTATTCAGAAAGTAGATCCTAAATATTTTTAAGTAGCTGTATTTTGGACGATCATACTACCCTGTTGCCTGCATATGAAGATCAACACTTACTTGGAAGCAGCTAGGACCCTTCTTCCTTCTGATCTCTCTTAAGGTACAGGGTATCAACTGTGTGCAAATATATATTTGTGTGCATATGTATATGTGAGTCCATACAGGCACCTGGCAGCACTTGGGACTGCACAAGCCATGTGTTCCATAAAAAGGAAATGTTGCCATTCTGAGTCTCCATTTCTTTTGAAAGCAGTAAAAGATGGATAAAATCAGTAGTTATTTAAGGCCGAAGCAGGACATTTTAGAGTTTTGTAATTGGAAAAGGCATAAAAGACATTTCTGGTTTGCATTCTGGTGTTACCACCTGCATTTGCGCTGTGCCCTACTCCCAGAGTCGGTGAGCCAGGCATCATTTCCCCATGTTGCCTCTTCCCAATGCTCTGGCAGCACAGTGAAACCACAAACTCTCAGTTTCTCTGCATAAAGGAGTGCTGCGCTGTTGTGGGCTGAAGCCCAATGTTGTGGTTTGGGTCCTGACACGAGTGTGTGGGAACACATAGCTGGTTTGTGTACTGCCAGAGTACACTGAATCTCTGATTTGTCGCCTCAGTAAATACCGAGAAAGGCACAGAGTTGTCTCCAGAACCAGGAGTTATATTCAGTTCACCTCAGTCCTTCCACAGCAGACGGAGAACATGACCGTCAGTTTTTCAAACTAAATTTTAATTTTAGCTCTGTATGGTGTTGGGTTTTTTTATCACAGCTTAGAAAAGTATACATTTTAAAGTATAATTCTTTTAAATACTTTAAATACTTTGAGAGGTGTGTGGGCAGTTATGGCGTACTTTCTTTTCTCCCACAAACACTGACATCAGGATTCCTTAGAGCCATACTTTCATCCTAAGGGCAGAAAATGATGCTGCATCATATTCACAGATTCAAATCTACACATTTCAAGCTTTTTTTCCAAATATGAATCTGTACATTGCTACCCTTACACTGATCTAGATCATATTTACTTATTGTAATTATTTAATTATTTCTAAATATTTTTTATTTCATATTTCCAAAATGTATCAGAGAAAGAGGGCAATGTTCTCTATGCCTTTTATTGTTAGAATTCATTTTAAAGATGTCTTTGTAGCACTTCCTTATTGTGCTTTCACAACAACCCAAACAGTTTTAAATAATGACGGTTTGAAATCTTTGTGGAAAATGGCTGGGTATCACCTAGGAAATAGTGGCTAAAAACTTGATCTGTTTTTCTGTCTGATAGCTTGGCTGGTTGAACAATGTGTCAGAATAATCTTCTTGTGAAGTTTGCAACTTTTCTCACACAGATTTTCATATTTCAAGATCCTTTTGCTGTAGCTGTGATGCTGTTTGCAATGGTTATCAGCAGTGCCACCACGTAAATGCCAGAGACATTTCTTGAGAAAATATGCAGAAAAATGACACTGAAAAACGGAGGCCTCAAAATTCAAAATTCTCAGCAATATGTGAATGAAATGAAGTGAGTCTGACAAAGTTGGCTGTGAATAGATACATAACTTCAATTAATAAATCATCATGGGCTTTATTCCTTGCTTTTTTCTTTCTTTTTTCTTTTTGAGAAATTCAGGTTACTTTTCATGAAA